CTGTTTAGCGGTGAAACTGCGGACTTCTCATTTTTACAAACTTCAGTGCCTAAGGATTCTCACACTGGGCACCGAAGCAGTTTGGAGAGTTCAGTCTACGTCCGGGCAGAGCCATATGCATCCGGGTTGAAGACGCGCTACCGCGTCTGTGTTAATAGTGCGATCTGTTTGGTTTGCTCCACTCCGCTGTACGGAGACCGCATGAACTCTGCAAGCATTGCTTCACTACGCATTGTGGAAACCCAAAAGTTTGTAAAAGTTTGAAGCCTTTCTCCTCCCTCTCTCTCCTCTTGACTAACCAAAAAAACACCCATTTTTTTACAAACCTGATTAAAAGTTTGAAAAGAGACTAGTTGAACCTCAAAGATCGGCGCCGAACCTGAGGTACGGCAAAAGTTCGCCGCATTCTTAGAAATAGCTCAGTAAGAGCCACATTCCAAACCACAAAGTCTTGACGCCAACTAGAACAAATCTAGCTCACTTTGGTTATATATAGCACAATCTGGCAACACTGCGCGGTAGGTAAGCCACTGGCCGGTGATTTCCATGTAAACATCACCTCGAGTTTCACCACAAAACCCGAACACTTCCCTCCTCACATGCAGAATTTCTCATCTAGAAATGTTTTGTTTATGTTTCGAGTAAACACGCGCCATCTCCAAAGTGTTCACAATAAGCAGACGCACAAAACAAGTAACAGGAATAAGCCGCCCTAGAACTTGCCTCACGTGTACGGTAAATGCGGATATACTAGTTGGGGTCGTGCCAGTCATCTCCGTCTTACTAGATAAGGTGAAAAACAGCACAAAAACAAATTCACATTATTTATCAAGGGGAGATGAGAAAAGTTCAAAGATATTTTTAGCAGCGACAAACGTCGAAACCAATATTGTCACGGGTGGTGACCAAAAGGGCAATGAATAAACACAAAGAAATAAACGTTTATTGTGGCAAACTTGTGCCAAAAATAAACAGGTGTCAAAAATAAACAGGTGCCAAAAATAAACAGCGTCGCGGGCGTCGTAGGCGGCGGAGCGGCAGAGTCAAACGCTGGGGAGAAAAACTGACTCCGCTCGCCTTGCGGAATCCCTTATGCACCCTCGTGGGTTTCTGGATCGTTCAGCGTAGAAGGATCGGCGCGTAGAACATTCTAACCCCTAATCAGCAAGACGGTTCTCGAATTCACCAGAACATCACATTACAGTGTCAACAAAAATGTGTAGCCGCGGCCAAGAATCGAACCCTCGCCTTCTGCGTGGAAGGCAAGCGCGATAACCGTACGGCCACGCGCGCGCTGCTTACTTGGCCAGCTGCGCGCGCGGCATTACTCCCCGCTTTAAAAAGTGCATCGTCCCGATACAACCCAAAAACGAAACAAAGCAAATAAAAAGAACGGTAAACTAAAGAGTCATTTGGAACGCATAAGGTCCACAGTCCTATCGAGCGTAGTACGGCTTCAGTCCCACGACGTGGACGACTTCCGGTCGCGGAGGGCGGCGTGACGAAGTCCGTGTTCCGTCGGTCATCACCTCGTAGTTTAGATCCCCGAGTCGACGAAGCACTTTGTAGGGTCCAAAGTAACGTTTCAGGAGTTTCTCGCTGAGACCGCGGCGGCGAGTCGGTGTCCACGCCCACACCCTGTCTCCGGGCTGGAAGTGGACGTCCCGACAACGATGTTTGTAGCGGCCACTGTCGACGCGTTGTTGAGCCTTAATCCGGAGTCTGGCGAGCTGACAGACTTCTTCTGCCCTTTGCGCAACAACCTGGGCGTCGTCGCTTGCGTCGACAGCCGGTTCGTGGGGTAACATAGCGTCCAGCATTGTCGTTACGTTGCGCCCATGCACCAGTTGAAAGGGTGTCACTCCGGTGGTCTCTTGTACGGCCGTGTTGTAGGCAAATGTGACGTACGGCAACACTTCGTCCCATGTCTTGTGCTCCACGTCGACGTACATGGAGATCATGTCAGCGATGGTCTTGTTGAGTCTCTCCGTTAGCCCATTAGTCTGCGGGTGGTACGCCGTGGTGCGACGATGGCTGGTGTGGCTGAGACGGAGGACTTCTTGCGTCAGTTGGGCCATAAATGATGATCCACGGTCTGAGATCAAGAACTTCGGGAGCGCCGTGCCGGAGGACGATGGACTCGATGAAAAACTTCGCGACTTCAACAGCCGTTCCTGATGGAAGGGCTTTTGTCTTGGCGTACCGCGTGAGATAATCGGTGGCGACGATGATCCATCGGTTTCCTTGCGTCGACGGTGAGAAAGGTCCGATTAAATCCATACCGATTTGCTGGAATGAGGCAGATGGCGGCGCAATAGGCTGAAGAAGTCCTGCCGGTCTCGTCGGTGGCTTCTTCCGTCGTTGACACTCGTGGCAAGATCGGGTGTAGTGGTGCACTGTCTTAGCAAGCTTGGGCCAGTAGTACTTTTCGCGTATTCTGGCAAGAGTCCTGCTGTAACCAAGGTGTCCTGCCGTCGGGTCGTCGTGGCAGGCTTGAAAAATGTTTTCTTGAAGTCTGGAAGGGACCACCAACAGCCACGTCGTGCTGTTGTCGCTGAAGTTCTCCTTGTAGAGCACACCTTGTCGGATGGAGAAGGTTGGCAGTGTTCGTACAAAACCGTGGGGAACGGCGCTTCCTTGTCCCTCTAGGTGCTGGATGAGTGCCCGCAGCTCAGGGTCGTCTCGTTGGAGTGCTGCCATCTCGCTGACATCCAGAGCACCGAGGAAACACTCATCGTCGTTATCTTTGGTGCAGGAAGGACCGGCCTCGACTGGGGCCCTCGACAGGCAGTCGGCGTCATTGTGCTTCTGGCCGGACTTGTACACCACGGTCATGTCGAACTCCTGCAGTCGTAGGCTCTACCGGGCGAGGCGTCCGGAGGGGTCCTTCAGACTTGTCAGCCAGCAGAGCGAGTGTTTGTCTGTGACCACGCGAAAAGGACTTCCATACAAATAGGGCAGAAACTTTGTTATTGCCCAGATGTCATGGTTCTGTGGAAGGAAGAACGTGAAGGACGAAGTGAGGGGTGCGAAAAAGGGTGCGTGAAGAGCACGAGCCGCGACGTTCGGCAGCTGCTTGAAGGATCTGACCGGCTGTGTCCCGGTATCGACGACCTGAACCAGAACCCGCCGCTACGCACGGTGTGAAGGGAACAGCGGAGGCATGAGCATCTACGCCATCTCGACACCGTCCCTGGACTGAGCGGCTACAGAAGCCAGGAACCGAGCCTCGTCACGACATATTGCCGCGCGCGGGGCTGAGAAAGCAACGCTCGGTCTCGGACCTCCAGAAAGTTCCCGTTTATTCATGTAGCGCACGCACGTAACTTCTATTATTTATATCCATATATCTTCTGCTTTTGTTTTCTAGAAAGTGCGTGTTCATTCTCGCCCCGATCACGCGACGCTCGAGCCGCTTTCGCCGAATCTTCGAGATAGCGACGTACTCTAGATAAGAGGCCGCCCGCGACCTTGTCGAGTCAGTCTCGCCTCAGCGTTTGATCGTGCTGCTTCGCCGCCTTCGACGCCCGCGACGCTCTGTTGTTATCTTTCTTTTGTACCCTTTTATTTTTGGCACAAGTTCGCCACATTAAACATTTATTTATTCCTGTTTATTTCTTGTTTATTAGTCACCACCCGTGACAATATGCCGGTGAATCTCTAGGACGATAGCCCCGTAGTTCGAACTGCTTATTTCTTCCTTGTGACTTTACTTGTAGTCTTATTACATTTTTTCCTTCCATGCTGATATTTCTTTTGTGTCTGCAAATATATGCCCTGTTTTTTTTTTCTAACTCTTTGTCTCCCGACCCTTTTCTTACCAACCCCGGACGAGCCTGTGACAATTTGGCGAGCCTGCCAGGATGGCGCGGCCCATTACATCCTAGTTCGTTTTCCGGGAGGTGAGAGAGGAGACGGAGATTTGAGACTGGTGCATTACTATGGAGCTCGATAGAATAATCGCGGCAGCTAAGGAATTGGGGTATACTGGGGACGAGTTAAAAAATGGGTTGATGAGGAAAGAGCGCGTAGTAGAGCTGAGAGAGCTCAAGAGCGCGATAACGCTAGGGAGGACCGTGAGGCGGCTCAAAGAATGTTAGCGGCCGAAAGCGCTAATTTGGATAAGGAACGAGAGGTCCTGCAGTTGAGGATTGCGGCTCGTGAAGGGCGAGGTGAAGGTGCCGCAAATTCGGAAAGCGGCCGCGAGGAAGAGTCAGGCCGAGGGAGTCACGGAAGTCCCCACAAACTGATTCCACAGTTTAATGAACGAAGGGACGATCTAGATGCCTATTTGCAGCGCTTTGAGCGTACCGCAACAGGGCTGGGTTGGCCAGTGGAGAAGTGGGCCACGTCTTTAGGTTTATGTGTGACCGGAGAGGCGCTGACGGTGGTCGGCCGACTGACACCTGAAGATGCTCTAGACTACGCCAAGGTCAAGCTGGCTCTGTTCCAGCGATTTCGTTACACTAAAGAAGGATACTGCGAGAGGTTTCGCGACGCCAAACCCGAGGACGGCGAAACGATGATACAATTTGCTGCTCGACTGGCAGGGTACGTGATAGATGGCTCGAGATAGCGGGAGTTGAGCAAACGTTCGAATCACTGCGAGACATCATCCTAGTGGAACAATTTCTGTTGACATGCTCGACCAAGCTGACGGTCTTCCTGAGAGAGCGCGACTGTCGGAGGTTAGATGACGTAGCAGCTAAAGCTGACCTCTTCTTCGAGGCCCAGGTGCAGCATAGCGCGGGTAAGCAAAAGCGAGAGGAGGTGACAAACAGGCAAGACGCTGGAAACGAAGAGAAACACGCAAGGGGTGGTCTCCGAAAGAGTATCCGCTGTTTCCTTTGTGGGAAGATTGGGCACAAGGCAGAAACTGCAGAAGTAACGGCCAAGCTATGAGGTCACTGACATGTTGGAATTGCGGCCGTAGTGGTCATGAGGCAGAGAACTGTAAGGGAAGGCAGAGCGAGAAACATCAGGCGTCGTGCTTGTACACGATGCCAACAGATAATCGCGAAAACGCCGATGATTCCTATGTCACCCTGGATAATGGTGACAATATCCCGGTAGTGAATGCGGTCATGGGGAGAGCCCCGAAATTTCTGTCAGAGAACATGCCGGTAGTGGAAGGACGGCTGGGAGAACACAAGATAACGGTGTTAAGGGACACCGGCTGCAACACCGTGGTTGTTCGCAAAGAACTAGTCCCTCAAGAGAACCTAACTGGAAAGTCGAGTCCAGTGTTTTTATTAGATCGAACAGTTCGGTACCTGCCGGAGGCGGTTATTGTGATACGAACGCCCTACTACACGGGAAAAATAACGGCGAAGTGCGTCAGTAACCCCCTATACGACTTGATACTGGGAAACATACCGCAAATGCGTGAGGCTAATGACCCTGACCCAGAATGGGAAAAGAACAATGAAGAAAATCTCGGCGACTGCCTAGACGAGCCGAAGGAGAGATACGAAACGTGTTCGAACGCCATCGGAGTCAACGTGGGCTGTCGCAGGGCAATGGAAGCAACCGAGAGCATTGACGAGCTCCCGGATGAGAAGCCAGCCGTAGCTGCGTCCGCGAGCGAGGGGAGAGAAGCTGGAAGACCAATAAAAAAACTAGAACGCCCTCTGAAAGTCGCGCAGGTGTCAGTAACCGACACAACAGCCGAGGAACTCGGAAAGCAGCAGAAAGAGGACGCTACTCTTACGAAGTGTTTCAACGATGTAGGGAAGACAACGAAGAAACACAATTCCAGGACAAGGATTCAGTTTCTGCTGAAGAACGACTTGCTATACAGGAGCGTCGTATACTCATTCGGCAGAAGATCAGAACAACTGGTTCTCCCAAAAAGGTTCAGGGCCGCTGCTGAAACTATGGCACATGACAGCGTTATGTCCGGACACCAGGGGGCGAAGAACACCCTCAATCTGGTGGCGGGAGAATTCTTTTGGCCATGTATGCAAAGCGAAATCAAAAGGTACGTTCGTTCGTGTGACGTGTGCCAACGCACTGTACCCAAAGGCAAGGTGGGCAAGGCCCCCTTAGGAAGCATGCCAATCATCGATACACTTTTTCAAAGAGTCGCTATAGATATCATCGGTCCTATAGTGCCTATCGCAAGCTCGGGGAACAGGTATATTCTTACAATGGTTGACATGGCCACGAGGTATCCTGACGCAGTAGCGTTGAAGAGCATTGGGTTTCAGCAGGTAGCCGAGGCGTTGGTTCAGATGTTCACGCGGTATGGAGTACCGGCAGAGATCTTTAGCGATCGCGGCACCAACTTTACCTGTGAGCTAATGAGAGAGGTGAGCCGGCTTCTATCGATGAAGCAGCTCTTAACCACTCCCTATCATCCCATCAGCAACGGGCTGGTCGAGAGGTTTAATGGCACCATCAAGCAGATGCTAAGGAGGATGTGCAAAGAAAGACCAAAGGATTGGGATAGATATCTCCCAGCTTTGCTTTTCGCCTACAGAGAGGTGCCCCAGGCTAGCCTCAGGTTCTCGCCATTTGAACTGCTATATGAGAGAAGAGTACGAGGACCACTGGCCATTCTCAAGGAGTTGTGGTCGAACGAAGCCCTGAAAGAATACATGAAGACGGCATATGAATACATCTTGGAACTAAGGGAAAAACTAGAGGAAACATGCAAGCTGGCGCACGTGTGCCTGCATGAAGCAAGGGAGAAGTATAAGAAATACTATGACAGGAAGAGCTGCAACCGAAATATGAAGCAAGGAGACCTGGCGCTCATTCTGCTCCCCACCGATTTGAACAAGATGATCATGCAATGGAAAGGTCCCTTCCCCATAATCGCAAGAAAGAATGATGTGGATTACGAGTTAGACGTAGGAGGAAAGAAAAAGGTGTATCACATCAATATGCTTAAAAGATATGAAGAAAGAGAAGGAAGTCAACAAGGTAGACAACATTGCGGTATGGTAATGGATTCTCAAGAGAAAGATGAAGTCGCAAGCGAGCTAAGTTTTGAAGATACAGAGGGAATTCCTACGCCAAGCTGGACGAGGCAGCAAGGATGGGAAGACGTCAACATAAACGAACACTTGGAATCCCAAAAGCGTGATGAGGTACGAGAGCTGATTGAGGACTTCAAAGATATATTTTCGAACCTTCCAGGCAGGTCGAGTCTGCTGACCTGTGACCTTCAACTGACTACGTCCCGACCAATACATGTGAAGCAGTACCCACTGCCGCTGTCGGTCCAGGAAACAGTCGAGCAAGAAATCGACGAGATGTTAGAGCTGGACGTGATTGAGAGATGTAACTCATCATACAACGCGCCAGTGGTAATGGTAAAGAAAAAAGACGGGTCAAACAGGTTTTGCATTGACTACAGGAGGTTCAATGACGTGACCAAGCCCGATGCGGAACCAATACCACGGATCGACGTCACGTTTGCTAAGGCGGGACAGACGCGCTTCTTCTCGAAGCTCGATGTAGCAAAAGGGTACTGGCAGATACCTATGAAAGAAGAGGCCAAGGAAAAGACTGCCTTCTCTTCGACGAGTGGGCTTTACCAATTCAAGGTCATGCCCTTTGGTTTAAGAACGGCTTCTGCGACATTCACGAAACTGATGCGAAAATTGTTAGACGGCATCCCAGATGCACACCACTACATCGACGACATCCTGATCGCCACAAGCTCGTGGAGAGAGCACGTTGATACGCTTCGCTGCATTTTTAGGCGCCTGCGCGAGGCTAATATTACCGTAAAGCCAAAGGAATGTGAAGTGGGCTTTAAGGACATCAGCTTTCTGGGACACGAGATCGGAATGGGAAGGATATCTCCGGACCCTAAGATCATTGAACGGATTCAAGACGTACCAAGGCCGCGAACGAAGCGACAAGTAAGATCGTTCCTTAAACTCACGGGGTTCTACCGCGAGTTCGTAGAGGACTATGCGGGTCTTGCCGCGCCGTTAGTAGACCTCACCAGAAAAGGAGCCCGCAATGAGGTTGAGTGGGGGCCGGAGCAAGAGGAGGCCTTCAGTGAACTAAAGACCAAGCTGGGACGTCCTCCAATCTTGTTGGCGCCAGACCCCGAGAAGGAGTTCGTGCTAAGGACAGACGCGTCTGACGCGAGTCTTAATGCAATGAAGCTTCAAGAAAAGGATGGAATGCTACATCCCGTGGCGTACGCCAGTAGAAAGCTCAGCACCGCAGAAAGGAACTACGCAACGATAGAAAAGGAATGTCTGGCATTGGTATGGGCCGTTGCCAGATTTAGGTTGCTTCTGTACGGCAGAACTTTTCGAGTTCAGACCGACCACCAACCACTGGAATTCCTAAATAAAGCTAAGCATACAAATAGGCGAGTGATGAGGTGGAGTATGGCTTTGCAAGATCATAGCTTTCACGTGGAATACATAAAGGGCAGGGATAACGTGGGAGCAGACTTTCTTAGCCGCATTTAGACGTTTATTTTTCTTTTGAACTAAGATTTTTGTTAGGGATAACTAGTCGAGACCCCGAAGAGGATGGGTTCCCTCAATGTATATATATTTTTTTGTGTTGTATGTGTGCCAACGTCTTTTGTCAGACTTAAGACGGGGCCTTTGCATATGTGTGTGGCTACAGTGAGTTCTCACAAAAGAAATCATCGATTTGAATGTGGATGAAGAGGGCCCTCCGGCCAAGTGTGGTGCGGTGCAACCGGACGTCGTTTCAAGGTCATCGAGAAGGTCGTGTCGTGAAAGTGTCTGTAGGAGGATTGTGGGGGTGGCTTGTGCTCGGTGACGTCAAGATGGAGTTCTCGGAAGTACCAAGCATCAAGAAAGAAAAGTTTATGTTATAAACTTCTTGAAGTTGGGGGGTGTCATGGTTCTGTGGAAGGAAGAACGTGAAGGACGAAGTGAGGGGTGCGAAAAAGGGTGCGTGAAGAGCACGAGCCGCGACGTTCGGCAGCTGCTTGAAGGATCTGACCGGCTGTGTCCCGGTATCGACAACCTGAACCAGAACCCGCCGCTACGCACGGTGTGAAGGGAACAGCGGAGGCATGAGCATCTACGCCATCTCAACACCGTCCCTGGACTGAGCGGCTACAGAAGCCAGGAACCGAGCCTCGTCACGACATATGCCGGTGAATCTCTAGGACGATAGCCCCGTAGTTCGAACTCCTTATTTCTTCCTTGTGACTTTACTTGTAGTCTTATTACATTTTTCCTTCCATGCTGATATTTCTTTTGTGTGTGCAAATATATGCCCTGTTTTTTTTTTCTAACTCTTTGTCTCCCGACCCTTTTCTTACCAACCCCGGACGAGCCTGTGACACCAGACAACAGCGAGGCACTCCTTTTCAGACGTTCAATAGTTCCGCTCCGCGTTAGACAGCGTCCGGCTTGCGTATGTGATAACTCGCTCTGCCCCGTCCTGCACTTGGACGAGTAATGCACCCAGTCCGGTGTTACAGGCGTCGGTGTGGATCTCGGTTTCAGCAAACTGGTCGAAATGGCCGAGAATCGAGGGCGTCTGGAGTCTTCGTTTGAGCTCGTCGAATGATCTCTGCTGTTCATCGGTCCACTCGAACTTTACGGCGTCTTTTGGGAGCTGTGTCAACGGTGCGGATAGTTTGGCGAAGTCTCGAACAAAGCGCCTGTAGTAGGCACAGAGTGCGAGAAATCTTCTCCCTGCCTTCTTCTCAGACGGTGGCGCAAATGCAGCTACGGCGCGGGTCTTCTCGGGGTCAGGTAGAACATCTTTGTTGTTCACGACGTGGCCGAGGAACTTTAGTTCCCCATATGCGAACCGACACTCTGTTGGCTTGAGTGACAGGCCGGCGGTCTTGGCTTGAAGCATGGCTCGAAGTCGTCTGAGGTGTTCGTCGAAATCTCGTGAGAATACCACGACATCGTCCAGGTAGACGAGGCAGCTCCGCCATTTCAGATTTGCCAGCACGGTGTCCATGACGCGCTGGAAGGTGGCCGGTGCTGTACAAAGTCCGAAAGGCATCACTTTGAATTTGTACAGTCCGTCAGGAGTGACGAAGGCAGTTTTCTCCCAGTCACGTTCGTCGACTTCAATCTGCCAGTAACCACTCTTCAGGTCCATCGACGAAAAATATCGGGATTGGCGCAGTCGGTTTAACGTATCGTCGAATCGGGGGAGCGGATAGACGTCCTTCTTCGTCACAGCGTTCAGTCGGCGATAGTCCACGCAGAACCGCAGGGTTCCGTTCTTCTTCTTTACAAGGACGACTGGGGACGCCCATGGTCTTCTTGAGGGTTGAATGACGTCGTCGTCGAGCATCTCCTGGACTTGGTCTTGAATCACTTTCCTTTCCTTTAAGGACACTCGATACGGCTACTGGTGGACAGGGATTGCGTTGTCGTTAGTAATAATGCGATGTTTCGCCATTGGTGTTTGGCGAACTTTCGATGTCGTGGCAAAACAGTCACTGTATTGCGTGAGGAGATCAACCAGTTGCCGGCGCTTCGGGGCTGGGAGCTCGGGGTCGATGTCGAGCGGCGGCGGCTTCGTGCTCTTCTGCTGTGGCGACGAGGTTTCCTCGGAGTTTGCAATGACCACGGCTGGCGCCTGAAGCTCCTCGACGTGCCCCACGGTGGTACCCTTCGTTAGATGTTGCGGCTCCTCTCGAAAGTTGGTCACAAGAACAGTTGTACGTACTTCTTGGAGATCCGTTAAGCCTCTTGCGACACCAATTCCTTTTTCGAGGAGCAGTTGGACACTGGCTTCCGGAAGAGCTTCACCGTGCATGGCTGCGTCGGTTATAAGGTGACGAAAACACTCGACCGCGGTGGTAGGTTCACATGGTCGGCGATAACTCGGATGTCGCTGGACGTCGTGTTGGTCTCCACCGGCGGCAGGACAGGCTTTCGCAGCGTCAACTGGTTTGCCGCGAGGTCGATGACGGCGCCACACTCGCAGAGAAAGTCCATTCCGAGGATAACGTCCCTCGAACAGTCTTGCAGAAAGACGGACTTCACGGGGCACGTCTCACCGTGGATCTCGACGCGAGCAGTGCATCTCCCGACTGGTGTAATGTGGTGTCCTCCGGCGGTTCTTATTTGTGGTTCATCCCACGTCGCCATGACTTTTCGAAGGCGGCGGGAGAGCCTCCCACTCTAGACCGAGTGTTCTGCTCCGGTGTCCACGAGTGCCGATGCGTCGAGGCCGTCGATCACAACGTTTAGATTGTTGGACACCGATGCAGGAGCGTCGTTGTGATGTGTAGCGTCGGGAAAGTGGGAGCGCTCCGTCGCTCTTGGAGGCTCTTTACGTCGGTCGTCTTCGGCAACTCCACCTCCAGGGGTTGCCGCGCCTAGTTTCCCCGTTGAACTGCGAGGGGCGACAGGCTTTCACGTAGGGGTCGGTGCATCGGCGAAGCTGGACGTCGCGGCGACGGCGACGGGAACTCTCGGCGGGACGCAGGCTCAGGGGACTGGGGTCATCGCAAGTACTCGTCGATTTCCCGAGGGCGCTCACCATACCGGGGGCGCGGGTCGTTCGGGTGGAATCCGCGCAGCCCGAGTCGTCGGTATGGGCATCGGCGGTACACATGGTCTGCTTCCCCTCAGTGGTAGCAAAGCGGGCGTCGGTCGGCCGTTCGCCACACGTCGGTCTTCCTCGACGAGGGTTGCTCCGGGCGGGCGTCCTGGACTTGTCTTTCCTGGCGTCGAGGATACTGTGGCATCGGAGGGTCTCGTCGGGCTGGCGCCGTAGCCTGGCGGTTAGCTTGCCGCGGTCGTCGGGCTATGGCGGCGTAGCTCAAAGTCGGCTCCTCTGGCGTCGCCGTGTTGATCGGAACCTCAGGTTGGAAGGCCCGGTGAACTTCCTCTCGCACGACCTCGGCGAGCGACAGGCAGTACGGGCGATCCGTAGCGGGGAGCATCTTGCGGATCTCTTCCCGGACGACTTCACGGATGATGTCACGGATGCCTGGGAGGTCGGTACCAAGGTTGTATCCGGATGTCGCCAGAGTAGTCACGCCAGGGTGTCGCTCGTAGTGTCTGGCGCGTGCTAGTAGGGCACGCTTCATATTCGTCGCCTCCGTGACGAACCCGTCGACTGTTGTCGGAGGATTGCAAATGAGACCTCCGAATATATCACTTTTCACACCCCTCATCAGGTGTCGGAGCTTCTTATCCTCTGTAGCCTGAGGATCGACGCGGGCGCTCAGGCGAAGAACATCCTCTACGAAGCCGGTGACGCTCTCGTTGGGGCCCTGGGTTCTGGTTCGCAGTAGGTCCTCGGCTCTCTCTCGGCGGTGGTGGTTGCTGAACGTAGCCTTGAGATCGGTCTTGAAAATGCCCCACGACGTCAAAGAGGACTCATGATTCTCGTACCAGTGCTTGGCGGTACCCTCACGCGAAAAATAGACGTTGTGCAGGTGCTGCTCGTCGGTCCAGCAATTGTGGCGGGCAACGCGTTTATACTGGTTAATCCAGACTTCGACGTCTTCGCATTGCTCGCCGTGGAATGCAGCAGCCGTCCGCGGTACGACGGGCAGGTAAACGACGGCTGGAGCGGCCGGGGTCTCCGACTGGTTGGCCATCGTCGTCCCCTTTGTTTGCCTGGTCCTGGGTGGCAAGGGTCCTAACTCCGGGGGTAGGCCAAGGTTCCGGCGACTTAATCGGATCTCGGTCTGGTCTTCGTTGGGTTCTTGGGGGCTTGTGTTCGGACTTGCACTACGGGAACTCGGAGGGGAGCGCTGCACGGGCATGCGGTTAATCCGTACCTCCACCAAAATGTCACGGGTGGTGACCAAAAGAACAATGAATAAATACAAAAAAATAAACGTTTAATGTGGCAAACTTGTGCCTAAAATAAACGGGTACAAAAGATAATAACAGAGCGTCGCGGGCGTCGGAGGCGGCGGAGCGGCAGAGTCGAACGCTGGGGCGAAAAACTGACTCCGGTCGCCTTGCGGAATCCCTTATGTACCCTCGTGGGTTTCTGGATCGTTCGGCGTAGAAGGTTCGGCGCGTAGACGGTTCTCGAATTCACCAGAACATCACATTACAGTGTCAACAAAAATGTGTAGCCGCAGCCAGAAATCGAACCCTGGCCTTCTGCGTGGAAGGCAAGCGCGATAACCGTTAGGCCACGCGCGCGCTGCCGACTTGGCCAGCTGCGCGCGCGGCAATATTGCACGGCTCAAGGGTTTGTCATCAGCCAACGCGAACGTAACCCGCTGCTCTGGTTATCCGAAACCCAAGAAGGAGGCCAGACGTGGCCTCGCTGTACCGACCCAGATTTCATACACCTGCGACTCGTCTCGAGCGCGCTGTTTCTCGGAGAGCTCGCACCTGTGCCGGCAATATCAGGTCGCAATCCACGAAGTCTCAGTTTGGATAATAATGTTAGGCAAAACTTGAGGACTGCAATCCATGCGTCGAAGGTGGAACGTCGGCAGGAAGGACCATCACAACAGGGATGCCACCGTACCGTTTATAAACCTTAACGGAAGATAATACATGTGTTCCAGAAAGCTTCAGAAAATCCGCTATTCTCGAAAATTCGAAATGACACCGCCTGCACGATCTTCATCAAGGTAACCTGCAACGAAAGTACGTATTGTCCTTCCAAACAGCAGCGGGGTAAAGTTTTATGTTCGAAGCCACAGCTTTAGATAAAGAACAGCCGTTCACTCCACCGTGACGCCATTTGATCAATGTTGACAAAGGCGTCCTTATTAGACAGGAATGTGGTGACGTTTTGATGGGATTTAGCGTTACATAGAATTTATTTAGAGGTCGAAGCCTTTTCGCATTCCTGGTCAGAAAGACAGGATGTCAGGGAAGGGACCGTCGTGACTCCTTGAACGTTTTTTCGAGCCCATTGAAGACTCCTCGTCGTCCGAAACTACTACCTTCAAGGCACAGTGTCAAGCCTAGAGAAAACTAATTTCGGAACAAAAACTTCAGCTTCAAGCTTCATCTCAGTTGGCATGTCAAACAAATTTGAGAAATGTATTGTAGTATCAGTATTTCCGTACTTGTATTTATGCCTTCCCTAAAATG